GGGGGGAGGAGGACCAGGTCAAGGAACCTGGTACCTGACAAAGACGCACAACTGTTTGTGGCCTCCCAGAATTCAATAACAGACATCTAGAGATTCAATGACATGTCATGGCAGCCCGACAAATGCATAAATGCTCGACTACCCATGGCACACGCACACACATGATGCCTTGTCTGTCGGTTGTGATCACCCACCTCAGGCCTTCAGGACAATCTTTCTGTTTGGCACCAGGTATGCCCACTGCGCATTCCATGGACGACTTAGGATTCTCATCACCGCAATTCAAAGATGAAGTGCCTCTGCAGGCTGAAACACAGACTTGCAAGGCTAGAAACATGGTCCAGATAAGGAAAATCACATTACAAGGACACAAGTGAGCCAAACTTGCAAGGCCAGCACCACGGTCCAGGAAAGGGAAATCACATGGCAAGAAAGTGAGTGCATACACACAATGATATGGAATCCCTCCCTGATGCCCCCTGGGGAGGACTCCGCTAACATACACATCCTTTCACATATCTGTCACATATTTGTTCCTCATGAGTTTCTACTGCGCAGTTAACCCCCATTTCTTACGATTGGGGTAGTCAATGCTGGCAGCCGGTTTTTTCTTCGCAGTATGTACCTTTCATGTAAAATGGGACGCTGGACCCGGTTTCCAGCAGGTGCAGCTCCCCACCAATAGATGGAGTAGCTGGAGGCTACTACTAGCGGGGAATGCTCGTATCATCCTCTCTAGTAAACAGCCAAGGCTTTGTTTGAAAAAACAAAAAAAACAAACAAAAAAAAAAAACAAAACAAAAAAAAGAGTGCATGCACGCAATTCAAGCAAGTGAAGTCCCACAGCCAAATGAAGTGGAGCTTTCCACTTATATCACCATAAGAAAAGCAGGTTAAAAAAAACAAAAAGGGGTAAGTACGTTTATGCCACCTTTGAGTGTGAAATGGGCGAAAGAAACACGCGTCGGCAAAGAAAACCGCACCGAGTTCGAAAAGACAACGGAAGTACCGACGGCCGTGGTGTCAGACCGCGTTGTTTCTTTGCCGGCGCGTGTTTGTTTTGCCTTTAGGGTTTCAAAACATGTCGCGCCCGCCGTTATTTCAAAAACAAAAGACGCCCTTTGTGACAGATGCGAGTGATGATAGAGGCATGCACTCCTAGCGATCCTAAGGGTGGCTCCAGTCTATTGGTAGGGAGTATCACCTGCTGGAAAGCAGGTCCAGCGTCCCTTCAACAACAATAGGATCATTTACTTGCGGCGCATAGGTGAGGTGCGCTGCGCAGTGCGCGGTGCGCTGATCGCAGATGCACAAAAAGAAGGAAAAAAAAGGCAGAAGCAACCGTGATGTGTGTAGCTGGAGAGAGAGAGAGAGAGAGAGAGAGAGAGAGAGAGAGAGAGAGAGGAAGCACAGAGCCCTGTCACATTATTCAAAAAACCCCTGCAGGTACTTCAAAAGGTTCCTGCAAAAAATAAGCAAGGGTCTCGTTAGCATGAGAAGGATAATCGCTGGACTCGTAGTGAGGAGGGAGCAGGCCAGCTATATATGGTGTAGCTTCGATTTCAGGTCCGTGTTTCTCAGTTATGGGTTATTGACTCACTAACTGGGCATGTGATTTTCAGGGCTTCACTCCACTACTCACCAATCTAGAATGAATCTTCTCCTAGAAACTGGAACCATACAAGCCGTATGCTTTTCTTTTGTGATGAGTGGCGCAAGGCCCTTAGGGCCTTAGGGCCACTGCATGTAAGAAGGGAAAAACAAAAAAACGAGACAGCTACTGTAGTGTTTGTAGTAAGTTTTTTTTTTTTTTTTTTTTTTTAGTAAGTTCATAACCCATACCTCTTGGAACACAGACCTGGATCCGAATCCAGAATATATTGCTGGCCTGCTGGTGTTCCTCCAGCCGTTCTATGAACGTCCTTCCAAATGCATCGGATCCCTGCTAACTCTTTCCAGAGGACCTTCGGGAAAAGGAACTAGATCCAATGAGGAATACGACGTGGCCCCAAATTATTTTTTTTACTGTGCACTTACAGTTTTCAAAGGGGAGGGACACATTTGGTTAGCACAGCCTGCCCTATTTGATTTTTTTATTTTTTTGTAAATGCGCCGCATCACGTACACGCGCATGCGTGCGCATGTGCGCTGTGGTGCACGTGCACAACTTGGGCGCACGAATGCGCCGCATGTATGAGATTCATTATACATTCAGCATGATTGAGGACAGTGAAGCCTCTTCAGTCCTTGATGGACCACCAGATCTATCTGAAAAAACAAGCTTCCCTGCCCTTCAGAAAACAAAGTATAGATTTGAAGATCACACCCCCTCTGTGCCAAACCACATTGGCTCCACCAGAGCAAGTTGTGAAGGAGGAAAGTGGTCCGCAAAAAATGTGGATATCTAAGGGAAGATCCTGGCTGCAGCACGCACCAGTCCCTGAAGCTGAGATGAAAGTTCCTCCTTAGAGATTCCACCCTCCTCCACCTGGCCACACCACTTTACCCAGTCCGTCCCCATGAGTTCCCCCTAGCCAGTTCAGGATAAATTTTGAATTATTTTCTGTATGTCCCTTTTCTGATGTAGAGTCAACAATGTCGTTTTATTTTCCTCCCATTGTGCTCTGATTTCAGTCTGAATAAACTGTACAATTAACCCCGAGATTTCCCCCTCTTCCAAAGCCACATCTTCTCTTAATAGGACACATCCTTTGTACCAGCGCGACCATAATACTGTCTTTCAACCAATAGAAAACAGATTACGTTGAAATTTCAGAAAGCTGGCAGTCTATAGGCTCCCAGTAACCGAGCAAGATAGCACGCCAGTCCCACAGTCATTCTATTCCGGCCAGATTCCTCCAAATACAATCCCACCATCTCCATAGTAGAACTGCACGAGGACACTGCATGAAAATGTGTTCAATAGTTTCACAAATTTTTCTACTGGGGAAAGCCTTTTGACAAGACTTGCACCATGAAAGGCTAAACCTCTTTGTTCTAGAGTTGAATGATCAATGAGTCAGTCATTTGTCAGCAGACACCTATGAATGATCTAAGTTATTGAAGAATTTAATATTAAAAAAATATTTATATCAATATTCAAATGTCTGGACCACCTTTCTTGCACAATCGCCATGACATCTACCCTTGGTCTGAGTAGACGATATGCTATCTTGACCGAGAGGGATTGTAGAGTTCTAGATTTTCCTCTTTTGCTGGTCCTCCAAACCCACTCGTTTGGGTTTAGGGGGGGGTTCGGGATAGGGCAATGAGGAAGGTAACTTTCCAGCCTTTGGTTAACGATAAGTATTACAACCAGATTCTGTAATGGTCCAGAAACGAGAATTTTTGTACCTAATCATTGGGGGATGAGTGTAAGAATAACTCCTTAGTTATCTTACAGAGGTTCACTATCGCCCCCTCTAAATGAACCTGAACGATCTGACTCACCTCTCATGGTTCTGAAGCGTCAGTTCTCACTACCCTGTCTCCCTCCTTGAAAAAAATACCTTTACTTAGTGTTCTAACCCAAGCTAAGGAAATGGAGACGATGATCTGCTCCAAATTGTGGGAGACTTGATGGGCATACACGGGCCTGCTCCTTAATTGCTCCGAAGTTACCCAATACTTGTTTTTTTTATCCCATAGATCGTTGACCCTTAACACCCCTGTTTTAACCCACAAAGACCATGGTCAATCGGAACTGTTGAATATGCGACCATTCCGGTCCGTGATCCATCTGTTGCCAAAGACGGGTTGCCTAAGCACCTCCTCATACAGGGAGGGAAAAGGCCTATTAGGTAGGGGTAAGCTACGCCACGTTTTCAACAAAGATACCCATAGATTATCCAATGGCAAATCACTTTTCGTCGCTCCCCTCATCCCTTCTTCCTTAGACTACGCCTTTGCCCGAGGAATGCTCCATAATAAATCTTCCAACCATGTAAGAAGATTAATATCCTTAGTGGTTGGGGGAACCAATCTACGAATTTGTTCAAGAGTCATAGGTTGCCATGACTTATCCGTGGAAAAAAATCATTTTTTATCCATTGAAGTGATAACGCTTGACATTACATGGACGTGTCAAGAAGTCATAATCCTACTTTCATTTTGGGTTGGATTAGGGGAAGTCACACCACTCTAGGGATAACATTTTCTAACTCATCATTGCCTCTCCATAAAACATTAACCACCTGTTTTGCCGTTTCTTCGTATGTGACTTATTGATAGCCCACAAAGCATATTTATACCAAATGGATACTAACACCACGTTGTTAATAATTAGTGCTCTTCCAAATATAGAGGTTTGTTGTTTTTTCCATTGATTCATTTTATCGATCGCTAGATGTGAGATCCAGTCATTGTTTGACAGAGGTTTGATTAGCTCTATAAGAGAAACTTCCAATATCCTTACAAGTGCTTCTAATGGAAGTTACTTCACGCTCGGATTTTTTAGAGGACGCACTCCATTTGAGTAGATCCACCACCATTGTGTTTTATTCATCCAATTGATTATCATATCTAATACTACTGAGAATCGTCGTCTGAATCCATCCATCAATGCCTTAATCTCTTCCATATTACAAGTCGAGACCTCCATCATTATAGTGAGATCATCTACGAACATGGAAGCAATAGGGATTGCTGTATTGGGAATCTCCGATATTTGAAGTCGTTTAAGACTATGATTGACCCGAAGATTGACTCCCTATGCTTCAATAATGATTACAAACAGGAATGGGGTCAAAGGATCTCGTTGTCTTACCGAGCGTTGAAGTCGAACAACTGGTGACATAAAAGCATTGACCTGAATCCTCGTAGTAGCATTGGCATTAATAATCCTTACCTACCTCCGTATATAAGGTCTAAAATTCATTTTATTGAGGCAGACATCCAAAACATGTCAGTCTAAATGGTCATTGGTTTTTCAAAGTCTATGAACACTACTCTTGTGCTTTGTTTAGACTGGCGGAAGAGTTTGAGCATTCTATTGATTAATGGTATATTATTCAGGATAGTCTTTCATTTATAAAAGTAGTCAAGGAGGGATGTACAATATCTTTAATTACTGGAATCATACGATTGACTGAGGTTTAGGATAACATCTTATATACCACTGGGAAAAGGGTTATTCGTTTATAATTTCTAATATTCTTTTTTACCCCTTCTATTACAAAAGTGTGACGATTCTTTGACCAACGAAGTCTCCCATCAACCCTAATGGTTAAACTGATTCAAAATATTTCATAAGGTATGAAGAGAAAGTCAACCACTAGTTTCCCAAAATTCTTTTGGGAATACAATTTATCCCAGAGTTTTATCTTAAT